AGTGTTTATGCCTTATGCAAGGTCTACAATGCGAGGTCGTAAAGTCGTGAGTCGTAAGAATTGACCAATCACAATCGAATTTGAGGAGAATAATCGACTGTGATTGGTCAATTCTTACGACTCATGACTTTACGACTTGCATTGTAGACCTAGCATTAAAGGTATATCCAGACAAACTTGCATAACAAAGGTGCATAACCATATGCATAAAGAAACGGCATGGTCTATTTCCTTATGCACATGCATATGGACCAATTAAATCTCTTATGCTTATATGTTTATGCGCTATGCAAGTTTGTCTGGATTGACCTTAAAGCGGGGAGCACACACTTTTGCACAACGCATAATGCGTAAGCATAAGAAAATTGATTTGTCTATTTCCTTATGCACATGTGTATGGACCAATCAATTTTCTTATGCTTACGCAATATGCGTTGTGCAGAAGTGTGTGCTCCCCGCTTATTTCCTTATGCACATGTTTATGGACCAATCAAAATTCTCTAAAAGCTCACCAACGACACCAACTCCGAAATCGTCACGTGATCGTTAATGGACTTTGATTGGCTGGAGTTATGAATATCGAATCTGGTTTACAAATTCCATGCATGGAAAGTTTTCTATTGCTGAGCACGTATTGTGAAACTTTTCGGAATTGATTCCGAAATTCCGATTGTATTTATTCCGTTTTCCTTAGAAAACACAATAGAAATCTAGAAAATAATTAAACAATTCCATGCATAAGTCAAAGCGAAAGATTAATAATATCAAAATTATTTACTATATTTTTTACTATTTTTTACTATTTTTTACTATTTTTTACTACTTTTAAGAGTAATTTTTTTGCTCCAATTATTAAAAAATTACGAAGGGCTAGATAGCTTAAGATAAGCTATATCTATTGTAAAAAACAGCATATATGCATATAAGTCAAAGCGAAAGATTAATAAAACCAACATTATTTGTGCTACTTTTGTGCTATTTTTTGTTTTCAAAAGTAATTTTTTTTGCTCCAACTATTAAAAAGTTACGAACGCTAGATAGCTTAAGATATTAATTATAATACTGACATAGATTAGAAATTCGAGATGAGATCTCAAGTTCAAATGTATATGTGTATACATATATATTATATTCCCTTTAACTAATTTAACAAATTAAATAATAAGTTAAATTAATTAACGTACATATATATCGCTTTTACATAAAAGACTAAAAGTATGATCTCAATGTATAATATGTATATTACGCTGCTATATAGTCAACGAGAAGACAGAAACGACGTCGGCGTCGGGCGCCGTTCAGCGGAAGGATAGAAGCTCTGAAATGTGATGAACGACAAGAATCTCGAGAAATACAAGCGTTTATTTTAACATTGTTATGTGTCTTTTAATGCGAATCATGCTCTCTCAAATGAGATTTGACAATAAAGAGTTTTAGATTTTAGTTTTAGATTTAGACTTGCGCTGGTAAGCAGAAGAGAGCGTCCCGTTTGACCACAGCGATTGACCACTCACAAAGCTGTTAGAGTCTGGCAATTCTCCTTAACGGAACACTCCAGGTTCATAAGATTTACAATCGGTTTAACCGTTTAACAACCTTCGTCAATAGTTGACCGGGCAATAGAACCTCATGTTTCGTGAGATCCAAACGGACCAAAGCTAGCGAAGCTTGTTTCTTTGCCTCGACTGTGCCATCCAGCGCTAACGACAACAATGCCTCCGTGCCGCCTTCATCAACAACTATTTCTCTCAATTTCTGTTCATTGCATATCGCGTTAAAAACGCGCGCTATCAATTCCTTGCAGTTCTGATTGTCCGTTTTGGCGAAGTCAACCAGACAACTAATCACATTCTCATTTATTAAGTCGCCCAATCTTTCTTCGAAGTAGTCGTCGTCCAATTCAGATTCCTCGGGAAAATGATATTTGACAAACTTTGATATCTCGGGTTCTTGCTCGTCATAAGCGTTGCATAAGTTCACCAAAATCGTAAGCACGTCGAAGAGAAATTGATCACCAGTCTCGATCTCCTCGGTCAAGTCGAGTATGTAATCAATGTAACTTGGATCACCGATCAACTCCTCTTTGACTTTCGTATTGAAAGTCAGATACGACAGACCTTTTACGGCCAACTCTATATTTTCTTTCTTTGGCGAATCAGATGAAAAATCTATGCAAGCCTCAATTAATTCCTTACTCACTCCATCCGCGAACGGTCTGATAGTCGCGTCTGAGTCTCCGGAATTACCCAACTTGCAAAAAGCCACTAACGCTCGAACTCGAATTGAATTATCTTTGGATTGACACAGTTTTTTCAATATATTAACACCTCGGTTTATGATCGCGCGGACTTTGTCTTTTCTGGTCACAGCGGCAATGATACATTCGAGAATCACTTTTTGCTGCAATATATCATTGAAATGTAATGCCGTTTCCGTCATACCGAGGATCATCCCCAAAATCTCTTCTTTAGCCACAATTGCGTTTCCAACATCTGATGGACCCAATAATAAGGTAGTTATCGCAACTACTACACGCGTCTGTAAAATAATCGATTAACAATTCATTAATTTTTACGTTTCGACAAACAATAATATTGATTGAAAATTAAGGAAGCTACAGTGTTATTTAATTTTGATAGAAAATAGACATTTCTGATAAATTACGTTTCAGAAAATACTAGATGATAAAGTCATATTCTTCAATAAATTTCGATTGCTCTGTTATAACCGTATTTTAATTTAAAACTTACAGAATATATACAATACTGAAAAAGAACTGAAAAGTCTTCTTTAACATTTTTGTTTTAAAAATAGAGTTTAAATTGCTCAAATCGGCTATAGTTAAAAAGACTCGGCCTTTTATTTTCAAACAATTTAAAATTTTAAATGACAAGAAAAGATCGAAAGTTGCAAAATTCATACTTTGTCAAGCGAATGCAGTTTATTTGCAATAAATTCATCAATGGCGTTGATAAATGTTTTCTCATCATCATAGTACACATTTTCATATATTTTTGCTAAACACACACTAGTTATAGTTTGCGTGGAGGATGTGATGTCCATCGAGGATTTGTATTTATTGTATAGCTCCCTTTCACTGGCTACCTCCATCAATCTTTGCACACCGCGAAGTTCGACAAATCGTTTGGCCCAGTCTAACATAGGTACGCAACGAATGTTATGCGTAATAAGTTTTATTACTGCGTCTCTAGCAGGGCCAGTTATCGTTCTACTCGTTATGCTGTTCAACAAGTACAACATAATTGTGTCTACTTTTTTTTGCGCCTCGTACAAATCCTTGTTGAAATTTGAATCGGGTTTATTATATATGTCGATGATGTAAGTGTTCAATATATTCTAAAATCAAAATATGCAATAAATTTTTAATTACTGAAATACGTAAAATATGTAAAATAACTACATGTATATTACTCGATATTCACCTGTAAACAACATTGAGACGCGTTAACTCTCTCTAAAGATGTACTGTTCATTATTTCCAGACACCAAGGCAAACCGACGCATTTCATAACGGACTCGGTTCGACTAATATTGTTTTTGCATAACTCGGTTACAATACGAATCGCTCTGCAGATCACTTCCTCGTTCTTTTCCACTTTCACAAGGTGAACCATTTTGGATACACCTTCCTTTTTGAAGATCTCCTCGGCACCAGCGTCGTCACCCGCGAGCAAAAGCAGTTTACTCATAGCGATTTCACGTTCCTTCTCATTTGTGTTCTCGTCAAATGCTAGATCCAGCACTTCTGATACCTAATACAAAGCAAAATTAAAGCGTATACTTAAATATAATAATCTGCAATAAAAATTTAAATAACTATGAGATTATATTTGTATGATGTAAATTTTACCCGTAGTGTGCAGACCGTGCAAACTATTAATGAACAAGAATTAATAATTATATATTAAAAAACAAAAACTCAAATCCATTTGTCAAATTATGTGTGATATTGAATGCACAATATTATATGTTCTCACACGTGGTCCAACATGTACGTCGAGTTATGTATAACGGTATTATACTCGCCTAACGAATACAAATACTTTATATACCTTTAACATTTCTTGCGAATGTGAATATGTTAAACCATCAAATTCTCCACTGACACCATCGTTTTTATAATTGCCGGTAAATTTTCCATATTCTACGCTATCTTTTTCGATTTTTGATTTTACTTCATCATCGTTGTACGTCCTACTCTGTGCCATGCTACTCTGTGGCCACTCTACAAAATGGGCGTAAAATAAGCATTATTTATCATATTATCAGCATAAATGTATAAACAAAACAAAGTTTTACATATTATATATACATATAAAAACTCATACCTGTAAAATCGTCACTTATATTTATATTACAATCTTCTCCTAAAGCTGGGAATTGTTCCAAATCTTGTATCGAGAGAGAGGTTTCAACTTTTGCAGTAAATCTTTGACAGGTGCCTATGAAATATTTTTTCATTAAGAACTCAAAGCAGAAAAAGTTAGTGATTTATTTGTCATTTGTCTGCACTTTTGTTACCTGGGCTATCCGGACTGTCCAAGACGACATTTCCTTGCATATTTTTTTCATTACTTGACGGCGTTTTAATACTATCGTTAAATATGTCCTTTACGAAAGCACAATCGGAATCCACTGAAGAATTCATTGTCTTAGATGACATTTGTTGGTCCCACATGTCTGCTATTGTTTTAGAAACGTCACTGCCTAATACCGTTTTGATAGGTCTTTTCAATTGAAAAGTACTCTTCTTATTTGAAACTGTAGTTTCAGGTGGCTTAACTGCTGCCATAGGTTCCATGCCGTTCGCGTGCTCCTTTGCATTTATATACGATTCCGTTACGCTTGCCGAGCCTTGACGAAAGGGTGCACGAGTACATTTGGATACCGAGGTACATGATGTGTCAAACGTGTCATGGTCATTTATCGAGCGAGTCTCAGACATGCATGAACGTGGTGTTTCACGTGATTTTGACGATGCAGACCCAGCTGTCTCCGGAAACTCATACATATTATTTTCATCTTCCTTTTGTAATTTTGATAATTTTGTTTGTACTAAACGTAATTTAGCTTTTATATGTCGACGCAGACCTTGCAACTTTTTGAAAGAGACTGGGTCAAATTTTGGAAATTGTTCCAGTATTGGTAATGGGATTAACTCGAGTGCGCTAAAAAATTTGTCAAGAATTTCAATTTCAAGTTCCTTTAAATCTTCGCGTCTTTTAAGCAATTTATCCTTGGTAACCTAAGGTTGAAATAGAAGAATGGAGAAAGTGAGACAAAAAATAAATAGGTGGACGTTAAACATTTCACATACGCACACGAAATATCAAGTCATGATATGAAACTTACAGGTATTGTGGACATTACTGGTTTCTGTTGAATAACGTCAATCCATGAACCTAATTCTTTGTTCAAGCCTAAATCTTTCAGATTTAATCGAATGTCAGGGCCATCCCAATTTTTTCTCGGCAATCTCTTGCCGTTAAACTTTGGGCTAGGACTATCGGTATCAGAATCTGAAATTATAGTATCTTTCCCTTGTTTATTGGATATTATATTGTATTTTTTAAGAGTCCATAAACGCTCATCTTCATCTTTAGACATAATGTCATTGTCGTCGTTAAGTATTTCTTTATTTCCCACCAATAATGTTGTACTACTAGTAGAAGAGGAATGTTGACTGCTGCATTTAGCATAATGATCATTTTGTGAAACAACAACTCGCATCTTCTCATCATCTTCTTCCATTTCCGTTCTATTTGGATATTGATTTAAACGTAAGCGTCTTCTAATGTCCTTCTTGTCTTCCTGCTCGCTGTCAGAAGACTCGGAGATAACACAAGTTTTCATGTAATCGCTATTCTTTTGCAATACATTTGAACATCCAGATTCTTTTTCAGTTCTCTCTTCCTTCGCTATTGAATTTTTAACACGATACGATTCCATTGCACTTGGTCGTGTTTTAAGCGGACTTTTGCTCAAGTCTGAAGTGTCTGAATTATCCTGTGGTTTAAAATGTTCGAGTCATACAATTATTATTTTTTTTTTTTTTTTTTTTTCCCCAATAAATCACAGATATTTCGTAAATCGTAATAATGTATGAGGTATATTTGTATATTAACTGAAAATAACACTGCATTGTTTTACCCAAATAAAACTGTAATCTTACAATATTTATTATCGTGTCTATCGTTATTGAGTCTCCAGCTATCCTCTTTTCTTGATTAAAGCACAACGTACTCGATAGTTCATTTGAATCCACATTTGAATCAGCTTCTTCTTCTGTCTCCACTGACTTTGGCGTACTAAAAAGAAAAAAAAATCAATCATTAATTTTAGAAATATGAACATGAGACATATTGCAGTCGCAAAATTCAAATATATTGAGGTGTGTGTGTTACGCATTTATTTTATTTATTTAGGCATTTATACAAAATGGACTAAATCTTTCTTACCTAGTCCGCGGAATAACATTTTTCTTCGTTGTCTTTGCCAAAAATCCCACTATCGTAGATTGGCTGCTATTCTTTTGACCAAGTACCATCTTTCTTGACATTGTTAGCTCAAGTTTTAAACAATTACAAGCAGTTTGCTCTAAACACCTTTGTCTCACTCAAATACTTTCGAATATTTTGTTAAATTGAAACAATCCTTATCCTCAGAACTCTAAACAGATATAACAGAGAGAAATCCGAATCAAAGCACAAGAGAGAACTCTACAGGTACAGTCTAGACCGAGCGTGGCGAGCGTTTGCCTTTATTTGAAAAGTGGGGTTATAGGTGCACTTGTGCACTCTGTTTGGAGAGAGAGACGAGAGACGGAAACCACGATTGCGATTGACCACAGCGCCACTCACAGATTTGGCGTTAATTACCTGGAGCTTTTTTTACTGAACCAGCCAATCAGATAAAGGGCCTAAGCAGAATGGCTGTCTTATATTATAACCTTAAGGCAAGTGTTTATGCCTTATGCAAGGTCTACAATGCGAGGTCGTAAAGTCGTGAGTCGTAAGAATTGACCAATCACAATCGAATTTGAGGAGAATAATCGACTGTGATTGGTCAATTCTTACGACTCATGACTTTACGACTTGCATTGTAGACCTAGCATTAAAGGTATATCCAGACAAACTTGCATAACAAAGGTGCATAACCATATGCATAAAGAAACGGCATGGTCTATTTCCTTATGCACATGCATATGGACCAATTAAATCTCTTATGCTTATATGTTTATGCGCTATGCAAGTTTGTCTGGATTGACCTTAAAGCGGGGAGCACACACTTTTGCACAACGCATAATGCGTAAGCATAAGAAAATTGATTTGTCTATTTCCTTATGCACATGTGTATGGACCAATCAATTTTCTTATGCTTACGCAATATGCGTTGTGCAGAAGTGTGTGCTCCCCGCTTATTTCCTTATGCACATGT